GAAAGTAATTCCATAGATAAACCGCAACTTGTCTAGCATCAGCGGAAGAGTTAAGGTAGTAACTCCATGTGCCCCTCCTCCGATTGAAAGCATCACCTTGATTCCTTTCGCTTGACACGATTTGATGTCAGAGCTCAAAGTAATGCAGCCATTGGTGTAAGGATCGCAATGGCCTGCAAGGTTGATCATGGGAGTCTGTCCATTGCCAAATGTGGGAAGAAATGCTATGTTCACGAAGTCATAATTCCCTCTGGCACACGTCTCCGCTAGGGTGCCTTTGGTCCCGTTCTGGCCCCAGTATATAGCAATCTTTCCTGCATCAAAACCAATGACTTGAGCAAGAACTGCTAAGCCGAAGATTGCTAGTGAACTTGGAGAGTTGAAAGCCATCTTAATGCTCAACTTTTTTCTTTGGTGTTCAAAATGCTCAAAGAATTGTCCCTTTTATAGTGGAATGAAGAAACCCCAAAATGAGGGTTCTTTTGTCTTAAGTGGGAACTGCTTTGTCCACAGGGAGTCTACAATAATGGAAGTGGATCAACGCAAATGGCTTATAAGAGAAAAAAAAAAAAATCAATTTTGAAATTGTATTATCTGTTCATATTTATGCACATTGTCTACTAGTTTGGAACTATATATGAAAATGCCATAAAAAAGGGACAAAATCTAGTGTTATTATTATTTTTTATAACAATTATTAAGTAGTATAATAAGTTAGTTTTTGCATACTATATTAAGTTAACTTCTCTTATTAAAAACAAGTCACTCACATTTAAACTAAAAAATTTTAAAAAAATTATCTACTTATTTATCTCTCATACCAAAAAGAATCAAACTTCTCTTATTAAAGACAAGTCACTCACATTTAAACTAAATTTTTTTTTAAAAAAAATTATCTATTTATTTACCTCTCATACCAAAAAAGATTCAAGTCATTATTAATAAAAATGAAAGAACAAGATTTTTTTTTATCAACTAGACTAAGATCTGGAATAAAATCTAGACTTCAAGTTAGTGCAATTTTGGTTTTGGGTTGGGCCATTGGGAATGTGTGTGACTGTTTAGGGTGTGCTTAGAGAACAGGGGAGTTAACAATAATAAAACAGGGTCAAAGGCCCAAACCCTTAGATTGAAGAAATCAGATTGCAAAGGCAAACCAAGTCCACCGAGTCTCTGGAAGCAACTGTGAGTCTGTGACCCTACTAGACCACCACGTGTTCTTAAACCCTAAACCATCCAGCTAGTTACAGTCCCCTTCTCTATATAAACCCCAAAACC